GTGTCAGGCTCCCTCCCCCTAAAAGTAGATGCTACATCGCCGGAGGCCTCCCGAGCCTTTGGGATCTGCTCCTAGGCTCCCCCCGAGCTCGAGGGAGCATCGTCGTCCTGGCTATCACCCCAATGGTAGGTGTGGTATGGGTACCCAGACATGGCTGACAGCGATTGAGACTCACCAGAAGAGACAAAACGAAGCAAACTGAAGAATTCAGGTAGACTAGATGAAGTGTGCGACCTCAGAATCCGAAGACAGCAAGATGGCGTGGGAGAAAGTGAGGCCCAGGAGGCCCCCTTATTTATAGTCTCCACCCTTCCAAATTGACAGCCCGGATCAAGGCAGATCCAACGGCCTGCGGGCGCCCTGACCGCACGCCTTCTAAAAACCGAAGGTGATTGGCGGCACGTCTTCCATAATTAAGGTAATCGCGGCCACACGACGTTCAGAGTTAAAAGCCACTTCAACACGTTTTCGGAATTCGAAAAGTCAGGAAAGTCAGAAAATCTCTTGATTGCTGCAAATGCATTTAATGTGAGCAGTCAATCAAGTTTGAATTTCGGTTAAATCAGTCCATCGCGCTTCATAAACTCCCCGCGCTAAGACAGTGCTCTTAACCCGAGGAGTGGGGGGCAATTGATGGAGGATGATTTGACCCAACCTATGAAGCGGACACATGGACACTGACTCAGCACGAACGATAGCTCAGCATTGTAGCCTGGTACGACCAAGTGACGGGCTTACGAAGCAGCTCGCTACATTGTAGCTCACGAAAGGAGGAGTTCGCTACGACGCGAACCTCGGGCTCCCCGAGCTACCTCTAAAGAGATACTCCGAGGCAATTTTAGCTCATGAGCTAAAGTCATTAGCTCGTCCGAGCTCCCAAGCAGGCAAGCCATCCCTAGGACCAATTCTACTAAGGGTAACCCTGGAGTGTTCCAAGCTCGCTACAGAATAGCTCGCGAATGAGCTGCACGAGCGCTCCCCAGGAAGCCTCTGACTGACAGACCGTACCGGTCAAACTGTGCCATATCCCTTACTGACAGCGCAATCCCAGTCCTTTCGGCAGTCTGCGTCCACATCTCACAGCAGGCAAGGGCATGCCTGTTACTTTGGAAACGTGTCACTCACCCGAGCGAGACGTACGCCACAACGGCCACCTACGCAGCCCTGGCAGGTAACGGCTGTAGCAAGAGCCCAGTGGCGGTTATGCCCGATCTGACGTGAGTGTCCCTATAAAAGCCCTCAGGGCAGAAGAGAAACTTCTTCTTGAGACCTCCAATCTCTAAAGTATAGTGAAGACGCGCTATCTGCACTCTTAGCCTTCGCCTCCTTCTTGCTTCTCCTTCATAGTATTAACTTAAGCATCGGAGTATCCCCACCGGGTAAACTCCCCGAGGATTCTTCTTCTTCCTCATCTCAAGTACCTTCCAGGAGCCACGTGAGTGCCAGTTAGGAGTGACCGGATCGCGCTACATCAGTTATTAATGTAATTGCAAAATTATTTGTTTTAAAATTTGAGTAATTAATGTAATTCAAGTATTTAATTAGATTAATTGAATTAATAGTTAATTAATTTACCATTTTTAATCAATTAAGTTAATTTAACTAAATTAACTAATTAAAGTACACTACATTAATTTTCTTCATTTACCCAAGTAGCTAACTTTAAATCCTCCTAGATGAATAAAACTACCTATTTATTGTGTTCTTGTATTCTTATCAGCCCCTGCAACACATGGGTACTCCGCTAGTATAGCACAAAAGGGCTTAAGTGAAGCTAACCTCGAGGAGAGGTTTAAGAAAAATGCCTCGAGGCTCAACCTTACAAGTATTTCCATGTCTTTATCCAACACACACACACAAGAATACTTCCCCATTGGGCAGTATCTTTATCCAACACTAAAGTTTTAAAATCCTTTGCATGCATGGTGATAGTGAAAATTTTAGAATCCAATATTTGGCAAATGGCGATATAATTTTGTCAATCTTAACTATTTTGGTTATTTTAAATTAGAAAAAATTGAATTAGTTCATGCCAGCAAATACTTCCCCATTGGGGAGCTTATCATGACAGCATAAAAAAGGATTAAGGGCCCGTTCGTTTTTTGGATTTTGAGATGACGGAAAGTTGGTTAATGGGATTTTGGTTCCCATTGACCAAGATAACTGTGTTTGTTTTTCATATTTACGTGGGGTACATGAATAATTTATTTTCCCTAGGTATCACTTGTGGATAAGTAACTTTCCCACCTAGGGGGGGGGGAGTTGCCAAAACTTGGATGGAACAAAATTGTCCTTTTTAATAATTGCTTTTATATATAGCTAAAACTGCCATTATCTTATTTACTTTAGAAATAAAAGAATATGGGTAAAGGAATGGGTTAATTGCATCTACCTGAGTAAATAACTTCCAAAAATAAAACGGGGCCTAAGGGTTAATAAGTAATAACTTCTTTGTAGGCTTATTTTTATCCAATTAATCTTTTAAGCACCTATCTAGTTTGACTTTGGCATTAGGGGCCATCATCCTTAGCCCAACCACAAATTTATGGGACCAGATTTTTTTATGTTTAGGCCTGGTTGGCCCAGGGCCTATATCAAGTCAATCTAGGGTTTTTCCTGGCCTATGATCATCCTTAATTTTAAAGGGGAGGACAATTGAAATTTGCCACTTGGTAGGTTAATACCATGGCCTCTAAATTTGGATTTTCTTCTTACAGAGTGTGTCTCAAACCAACCTTAAAGCAAGTTAGAGCCGCGTATTGAGAATACTTCCCCATGAATGTTGCATACAAGTACAATACATATTCCCAAAGTATGGTTGCAAGTGTTGTGAGGTTGGTGTGAGATGTGTTATGTGAGGAGCAAATCCATAATAATGGCCTCTTAGACCTTTTGGAGTTTTAGGGGCCGTTTTGCAAGTCTTTTTGGGAAGATCTTCTGGTAGCTTTGACAATCAAAAGACACATTAAGCTTTTGCATTAAGATCTAAGCAGCCTGAAACCCGTTTGGTTAAGACATGTCTTTCCATGTGTCTTTTTGCGCGAAAATGAGTATAAAAAAATGCAAAAGCTCCATTTGGAGCTTCCCGAAAATCACCCATTTTCGGCTTCATGTGTATTTTCGGCATGTCACCTAGATCTACTGTGAACCAAACGGGAAAAGACTGAATCGTGGTCTGTCGGACTTGTAAATAGCTGACAGACCGCATGGAAAGACGTGCCAAACAGGGCCTTAGATTTCTTTAGTCAAGGTCTATTTTTTCGTCAATTGGAGATTTGGAGGCCCAAACCTATTAAATAAAAGTGTTTTTCATTTTTTAGGCTCAGTTTGAAAAGATTATAAATACATATATGTACCATGCAAATATATACAAAATATTATAAAATACAAGGTTTTGCACTTTACATATTTGTAATTGTACTCCTTCCAAACTTGGCCTTAGGGGGTGTTCCACAACATTGTTGATTTTGTTTTCGAAAACAAAATCAACTATCATGTTAGCAAAATTGTATTGTTTTAGCTCACATGTCAACTATTTTTGTTTTCAAAACAAAAGCAATTATGTTTTCAAAAATCCCTTTAGAGTTTAAACCCGTTTTAGACATGGACAATTGGAAAATTGTTGTCCCATATCTGCATATTTGTCATGCCCCGCTTTAGCCTTTCATCCTCTAAGTTCAAACCAATAGTTGTCTTCCATGTGTCATAAGAAAATAATTAATCCTCTAAGCTCAAACCAATAGTTGTCTTCCATGTGTCATAGGGACATAATTATTTTAATTATAAGGTAAATCACTGAAACCTCACATGAAGTTTTTGACCGTTGCTGAAACCTCCCTTTAATTTTCTGACATAGTTGCAAGTAGACCTCCCTCGACTAGAGGTGTAAATCAGGCTGTGTTGGGTCGTGCTTCCCTCCCCTAGGATACTTTGGGGGCTTGTCTCGGCACAACCCATAGTTTGAGCCTGTGTGAACCCATATCGTGCTATGGGCTGGGCTGACCGGTCCACAGGCCAAGCCATGTTTTTTAAAAAAAATTGAAAAACTAATAAAAAATTTAACATAAATTAAAAATAGACAAAAAATAAAAAAAATATCTTAAAATTTTATTTTATATGAATTTTGATATATACAATTATTTATATATACAATAATAAAATGAAATAATATAATAAAATTGAATATATATATATATATATATATATATATATAATTAACTGCTAAAAGTAAAAATGCAACTTCCAACTTCCAAGCCCTTTCAATCTCTATTTTGAAATTGATTTAATTTCCAAATTTGTCATTCATATCAAATGCTCAAAGGTAAAAATGCAACTTCCAACTTTTTTTTATTGACTCCCATTATTACATGATTATTTTGGACATTTTTGTGCATAACGTTCTACCTGCAATTAGCAAGCGTGAGGTGAGGTAACAGCAACGGTCAGAAAAGGCTTCGGCAATTATTATGGGAATTGTAAAACAGGAAAACGATATGGAATGTTCGCGGCATTAAACCGAAAAATCGAAATCCAGAGAAGCACATGGTTTCACAGAAGCCACGCCGAACGACGTTGGCCCCCTTGGGTCCTTTATGGCGTTAGCGTACCGCCATGGACAGAATGAGCAGTGACGTGGCTGATTGCACGTTAAACATAATAATAAAAAGTTCCTGTATTCTATTGACTTGACGATCTGGATTGGTCTGTTCTCTCATCAGAGATCAGAGTGATGTGGGTCCACTAGGTGGATCCGTGATCCGTCTCATGGAAGGAAAAGGAACCTTTGTAAATTCGTGCAGAGGGCTAGAGGGGGAGGAGGGAGGATTAGTTAAAAGGTCAAGGGGTTATTAATACGACGGTCACTGTACAGGTACAGGTTGAGGAAACTTCTGTAAAGCTCCACTCCACTCACACAGTCACAGTCACCGTCACATTCAACGTGGGACATTTCTGCCCTCATATATATATATATATATATATATATTTTTTTTTTTCTTTTTTGTTTTCTCTCTTTCACTTCTCTCTCCGCCGTAAACGACCACTCCAGAAAATAGAAGCCTCTCCTTTTCTATCTCTGGTCGTTTATTTCCCGAGGATCGGTCGTATTGAAGCTCTGCAACTCCGACTTTTTTTTTGGTTCAAACAAATTGTGGAGAGATGGGCGAGAGTACAATGGGGGCTATTGTACCGTCAGTGAAGGCGGAGGCAAGAGCTTCAGCAGCGGTAGCAGGGCCGTCGGAGGCCGCTGACGAAGCGGTGTCGGCGGCAGCGACAGCAGGAATAGGAGGAGCAGCTGCGGAGTCGCTCGAGACGGGAGTGGCTGAGTTCGATAAGGACTTCTTGTGTCCGATATGCATGCAGATCATCAGAGACGCGTTCTTGACGATTTGTGGCCACAGCTTCTGTTACATGTGTATCATTACTCATCTTCACAACAAGAACGATTGTCCTTGTTGCGGTAACTACCTCACCAATAACCAGCTGTACCCTAATTTCCTCCTCAATAAGGTTAGTTAATTATTCAATTCCGCCCTTTTAGTCATGTTCATTTCTTAGGATTTAATTTAAACTCTGCCTGATTTTGTTTTCGGTCTAAAGTCTACTCCTTTTACAATGTCTAAATTTTATGAGAAATTGAGAATTGAATATTTTTGCACCTCAATTTCTTGTTTGATCCCAAGTTTATGCACTTGATTTCTATAACATTGTAGATCACTAGCTTAATATTGAGAATTTTGGTTCAGAACACTTGGTATATATTCCTGGGCTCGTTAGAATATACTCTGAATTGCTCCATAGAGGGGCGTGCATTAACAAAAATCTACAAGTAGACAGCATCAGCACTGTAAGTCCCGTATTACTTGTTTTAGACGTTCGTCGTCAGTTTAGAAATTCTACTTTGTCTAAATCAGGAACGGGAAAACAGATAATATCATATTTTCAGTTAGTTACCTGTCGAAGCATGGGTTCAACCGTTTAAAGCAATGAAAATTAGAAATTTTATGTCAATGTATCCTATTTAAAACATTTCTGACCAGTTTGGAACTATCTAAGTGAAAATTGAGGATACTTTATTTATTTGGGTGTTTGGGTCGTGGAAGTGACATCTTAGATTTATGAAATTATCATCCCTACAATCTTATCAGTAGTACATGAGTAAAGCTTGAGAAAAAAAAGACTTTTAGAGGTTTTCTTCTATCAATGATATGGAATAGGTTTCTCCTGTTCTTATCTAATAGAAGCCTGGAAGTCTTTAATGTAAACTGGTTGGTGGCTTGTCTAATCTAAGTTAAAACCTCAAACTTTAGTTTTCAAAAATTCCTTTAGATATTTAAGGTATATGCACATATTATCTTATGTCGACAGCCATGGAATCATGTACTTGAAGGTGACTCTTTATTGATGTATTGGTTAATCTTCAGACATAATTAGTGTCATGAAATTATTTCCTTGGCATGCAGCTCATTATTATACGGTTTATCTGTACCACATTTTGTAGCTACTGAAGAAGACTTCTGCTCGTCAAATAGGAAAAACCACATCTCCAGTAGAGCATCTTCGTCGAGCACTACAACAGGTCAGTTATTACTTCTATGTTGAGGCTGGAAAGTTTTGAAAAGAGACATCTAATCTCTGCAATCTGCATTACATTTTTCTCTTGGTGGCTATCATATGAGTATTTCTTGGTTATATTGATTCAGCTAATGTGTTAATTCATATGGTCTGGTTGCAAATTTGTTCCACTGATTTGATGAGTGTAACTTCAAATTTTTTTTTTTTTTTTTTTTATTTCACTGTTCTCATCAGTGTTTTCAACCTGCCATTGACCCAACCGGTCGAACCGTTCGAACCGTCACCTGGCCAGGATTCTGGGTCCAGTTCTGTTAAAACCCATCATTCGGTCTGAAACTGTTGACTTGGTCAAAAACCGTCCGACCTGGGCAGTTCAATTGAATTAAAACATAAATTAAATATAAAATAATACATATATCATATCTAAAACATAATCATACATTATTTATTGATAAAATATGCATTTGCACAATATATGCAAAAACGGTTCGGCCTCCTGGTTGGTTTTTGAAACACTGGTTCTCATATTTAACATGCTACTTAATTATTGCTCTTATTCTGCAATTAAAACCCCATACGGGGAAGATTCATCTTGCATATCTAAGTCATATTGGTGTTCTTGAAGATTTATGTTTATTAAGTAGTTAATTTTTGCTTGTGTCAACTTTAACCTAGGTTGTGGATAACCTCTTTATGTTATATTACAAGGAAAAATAATATAAAAAGTGATTTACATGATGGACATCAGAACAAAGACCTAACAATCCATTGTGTTCTATATGGATTCATTTGCTATACATACAAGTTATGGCAATGTGGAACCACAACCGCTATAAATCCCTTTCTTTTTAACTGCCCACCTAGTTAACCTATCTGGAATTGCATTTCAAGATAGTCATGTCAAATAGATGTTTAATCTAATTCAAATTGTTTGAGACTCTTCTTGCACTTTTCCCTAAACACTTTCCCCATCTTATGGAATTCATTTTATCTTTTTCAACCTGGATGGAAGATGGTTTTCGTGATGATCCCTAAAACCAACAAAAAGTGACCTTTTCCTTGGAAGAGTTGGCATCCCAATGGATCCTCTCTTTAACTTTAACCATTTAATTATTCCTTTTCACCATAAAAGTCTAAATAACATTTGGTTTCAAAAATATCCAGTGAGTATTTTGAATGAACAGTCCTTGCTTTTGTTTCTATTTCTTATTATTTTCTCATCAAACTGTCATTCTTCCCCTTTCCATATTGTTAATCTTGTCAGAATCAGTCATCCTATGACTATCAAAACGTTTCACTCTATACTGAATATCGAAAAATGTGATGCCATGGTTCATAATATAGTGGGCTTATCTAGTGAAAAGGATACATTCAAGATGCCAGAGTTATTTATCGGGAACAATTAGGTTTCTTTTCAGTGATGAAGCCATAAGTTGTGTCAGAATTAGTAGTTACAGGAAGCAGTGTTTTAAAAGGTGTGGGAAGTGCACCTCCAGGCAAGGTGCCCCCAAATGCCCTGCAGCACATTCTAGAAGCACTTATGCTTCCTAGATGTGCGCCTCAGGTGCATGGTGTACCAGAGGCATATGCCTCATGTACCTCATGCAAACCTTGCTCAAAAAAGAAAGAAAAGGAAAAGGAAAGGAAGGAAGGAAGGAAGGAAGGAAGGAAAGAGAATAAAAGAAACAAGAAAAAAAAAAGAACTCCTTTCTCCTCCCTCTTCCTCCTCCCTCCTCTTGAGGAGGATTATGCCTCTTACATTCTGAACTGCACCTCACTCCTCTAGGCAGTGGAACACCTTGCATCATGCCTCCACATTCGAAAACATTGACAGGAAGAATCCAATACTAGAGATAACATGAATGAGCTGTATCTTTTGTTGCTGTTTGAGTTGGAGTCTGGTTGGTCCTAGAATCAAGGGATTTCATGTGCTTCACCGTGAGATATGTATGTACGCTATGATGCTTCTTTTACACGAATAGGTGAAATAATTTATTATTAAACATTAACCATTCTGCAGGATAAGGCACTAGACCTGTCTTTTCATCATTTATTTTTCCAAAAAAATTGAGATCTTATTACAATCTGATTTCAGTCTAAAAGATTTATATGATTGCTAATAGTAGTAGCATGTTGTTACCAATTTTGTTGTTTTTAAGGCTTAAAAAAAACAATTTTATTGTTTTCCCTTTCAAATCATGCTTTTCTCAGACTTGTTAAATGTGACGCTTCCTTGTGGCCCTTAGACAGGGTTGTGAAGTGTCAGTTAAGGAGTTAGACAGTCTGCTGACTATCCTTCTAGAGAAAAAAAGAAAAACGGAGCAAGAAGAAGCTGAGACAAATATGCAGATTCTGCTTGATTTCTTGAATTGCCTAAGGAAGCAAAAACTTGAAGAGTTGAATGAGGTTTGTAGTGTTGTTTTCTTTTTTCCATTAATTTATTTGGCATTTCCATCCAAATGGAACCAGTTAATTCCAGATATTTTGTATTAGAAAATTTGAAACTCCCTTGTTTAAGACTGTAGTGTTATCTTCAACAATATATGTGCAGCATAAGGGCGCTCATCTATTGCTGGTTCTTACCTTAAACTGGGGAATCTTAGTTCCCTCATGACTGAAATCTTCCATTCACTTGCTTTCTGTTCATTTTTTAAGTTCAACATCAATGAGTTTCTGCATCTTTTGTAGATACAAAATGATCTTCAGTACATTAAGGAGGACGTTGATGCTGTAGAGAGACATAGAATAGAGTTATATCGAGCAAGGGAGAGATATTCAGTGAAGCTGAGAATGCTTCATGATGATCCCATGGTTATGAAAGCATGGCCATCTTCAATGGATAAGCACAGTTCTGGTCTTATCTCTAGTGGTCGAAGTGCACAAGGAGGAACAAGTTTAGGCAATTTTCAGAACAAGAGAGACTTAAAGGCTCAAGCCAGCTCTCAGGGATTCCAAAGAAAGGATGCTCTCAGTGGATCAGATACACAAAATGCCACTACTCAATCAGGACTTGCTACAAGAAAAAGGCGGGTTCATGCACAGGTTAGTAACTTCATAAAATTTTCATTTGTATAATTTGGAGTTTTGGACATGTTGTATGGATTGTATTATGGTTTTGTACTAAGATGGGCAATAGTGTACTGATAGACACTGGTTTACATAAAGATAAAGGGTTTATACCCTAAAATTCCTATTTTCAGAAATTGTCTATATAATCTTCTTGATAACCAGAAAAGATACAGCAGAAATCCAGAAATCTACAAGATGGAATGGAAGATAAAAATATGCTAAGGTGCAGCCATGGACCTCCAGATCTGCTCAATGAGTTCTGGTATACTAAGCTCTTCTTTGAGCATGGAGTTTGAGATGAAAACCTCCCTCCCCCGCTATTGTGTAGTAAGGCAAAGAAATGATGTATATTATATTCAAAAGATGCTACAAGGAATACTTCCTTAGACATATGCGCATATACATTTACACATAATCTAATGTTTAATACCTGGAAGTGGAAGTACCAAAACTTATTTGAGTTGTCTTGTCTTATTTTTTATTTATTCTTTCTGGATGCACTCATTCCATCTCTTGCAACAGTTCAATGATCTACAAGAATGTTACTTGCAAAAGCGGCGACAGTGGGCCAACCAATCACATAAGCAAGAAGAGAGGGAGTCAAATGCCATTAGGAGAGAAGGGTATAATGCAGGTCTTGAGGATTTTCAATCTGTATTGACTACTTTTACACGATACAGGTATATGGTTATGCATATTTTTAGTTATTAGTTATAGTTATGTTGCCTATATTCTTATTTTGATGTTTAATGTGTTTATTTCTTTGGTTGTGGGAATCAGTCGATTGAGGGTCATAGCAGAACTCAGGCATGGGGATATTTTTCACTCTGCCAATATTGTATCAAGGTGAGGAGAATTTTTTGCTTTTGTGTTCTCTTCGGGGTATATCTTTTATGTTGGGAAAACTTTCAGTTCGTACTTGTTTTGCTTTTCTATAAGATATTGACTTAATCAGTTTCTTGGAAAAATCATATTTTTTTTTGTATAAGAATTATGTTTAGTAAATTATAAAAATTACCTAAAAATATGATAAGTAATTGCTGGGAATTGAATTTCCTTGTGTTAGCAAGCCCTGCAACTGGAAGGGATGAGTTGGTTTGGTCCATACTGTGGTAGAGGCATAGAGCAGGGAAATTCTGAAAATTAGTTCAACTTTGCTGAATCAGGACTTAGGAAGTCATTAAGTAATCCAACTATGGTATTGCCACCATTTTTTGGGTATTCTTGACCACGGAAAAAGCATTGGCAGTGGCCTGTAGCTCAATTAGAATGTTTGTCCATATTTTTGTCTGTGTGAAAACTCTGATCCAAGTGTTTTTCACTTTGAAATGTAACAAACCTATCCAGAATGCCATCCATGTCTATTAATGTTCTTTGCTATTTGAGACGATATTGAGCTTCAGTTAGAACAGTTGGATATGACCCTTGATAATTTTTTTGCCATTTGAGACAACTTTGAACCTAAAACGTTGTGGATATTACCCTTGATGGAGTGCAATGGCAAAACGGGATTCATGTAGCTGATTCATACAAGGCATGGTTCAAAGTATCGACACGATGGGATTCATGTAGCTGATTCATACAAGGCATGGTTCGAAGTATCGACACACCTCTGTGTATCGGCAGAGGCATATTGGCACTTAGATACATGCGGAAATGCTTTTTTCTTTAGTTTTGTTTTTCAAAATTTGGGTTTTGGGAAGATATTTAGACATATTTTTTATTAAAAAAGAGTGGGGTCCTGAAACACCTGTAAACAGGTGTACCGGACCCCCGAAGATACGATACGATACACCCTGTATCAGGCGTATCATATCGAAATTTTGAACTGTGATATAAGGATAAGGCTTTGTTGAGTGGACTGAGCTAAAAGTCAGGAGTTAACCACATAGCTTATATCTTCAACCTATCTGGATATTAGAAGATGGAGGCTACAGCAATCCTTAAAGTTCTGCACAATTTTTTTTCTGAAGAGGAAACTAATATAATCATCTGGTATAAGTGATAGATTTAAATATTGATTAGGAAGACAAAAAAGTATTCTTGTGAAATATGTTGTGAAGGCTTCACTTATTTGAACCTCTGTGAAATATTGGTGCCAAAAGTTTGACATAGTTGAAAGATTCTAACTATCCTAGTCACCACATTCTTCGTATGGGTGGGAAAATATGTGCATTCACTCTAAAAGGAAAATGAAAAAAGTGATCTACCAACTTATCTCCATCCCCTGGGTGAATTTATCTGTGGCAGTGTGGTGTTTCCTTTCCTTTGCATGGTCTTTATCTTACATCTCAATTTGATCGACTTTCTGCCTTGCAATTCTGAGGGTATAAGTAAAAGAGAGAGCTTGCAAAAACCTTAATATATAACCAAGCATCTGACTTAAAAACTTGAAAAAAACATGCTTTTTTCCAAGTAGTCTTCCCAGTGAATTTTCTGTCTGAAGCTGGTTCTATCTCAGTTACCAATTTATATTGTAAGGAAGATTTGGATATAACAAGTAACACTAGAAGTTATTGGTGGTGGGAAATTAGATACAACTACAAAAAATAACAAAAACAATAAGCAGTAGTAGCGGAGACACTGGAAGTGGGAATTATCTAATGTGATGTTGGTAGAATAGTTAGTAGTAGTGGAAGACTAACATAATTCTGATAGTCTAACATATCCTCCTCTATAGATTCACATTGTGTAATAAATAAATTTTGGCTTTTTTTTTTTAATTAACCACCTTTTCTATGCAGCATAGAATTTGATCGTGATGATGAATTATTTGCTACTGCTGGAGTTTCTAGGCGCATTAAAGTCTTTGAGTTTTCCTCGGTAAGCTGTCTGTTGTCATAAGTTATTTTGCTTTGCTTTTGCAATTACAGATTGTTATATGAATAAGTCTTAGTTTCTCAGTACTAACTTTATAATGGTCATATGGAAGTATAGCAGTAATCAATTTCTTTTGTTACTTACATGTTAAAAATAACAGGTTAGGATAACAACCTTCTTTAACAACTCTAGCTTGTTTTGTCTCCAAATAAGAATCTTTGTTATGATGTTTTTTCATTTTTTTAATTATTTGTTGGTTTTCTATACCACCTATTGCATAAGCAAGGGGTGATCTGATGCAAGTTGATGGTTGTAAAGAACTAGGGAACATGGTTTGATGATTTATAGTAAAATTGCATTTATTCTATACATTAGCTGTTATTTTATGTCACATATACAAGGAGAAATTGCTATGTAGAAGTGTCCTAAGTATCCATGGGGTATCAAGTATTATGGATTGTTGGAATCAAGGTTCAAAATATCGATACACCCCGATATTCTGGAAGGGGTGTGTCGTTACTTAGAACATTTTTTATAGATATTGATACTTTGAACATTGCACCTTTTTTTTTTTAATTTTTTCTGAAAATTTCACAGGGGGCTATTTTTATGTTCTTTAATTTCAAAAGGGGGCTATTTCCCATTGTACTTATCATCATTGTACATGTGCTGATGTACTTTCATTCTTTTCATTTCAATACAATTCTTAACCTTCTTCAAAAAACAAAAAGAAAAAAAAGAGTTTCTTAAAAATGCCTTAATAGGCATGTTGGTAAACAAAAGACTCCGTATCGTATTGAAATATTGAACCTTGGTTGGAATTCTATCCTTGTCCTGCATGGACACTTCATGGCAGTTCAAACTGGTCCTTAGAAATGTTGATTTGGTCAAACATACCCCACATACATGTGTTAGTAGTTGTTGTAATCCTTAGTATCTATTGTTTTATGCTTATGTGTTGATGTAAAATAACTTTAAAAGATAATCTTCTGGAACTGTTTCCTTTTATATATATATATATTTGTTTTTATTTGAGCGAGTCAAATGGTTGAACTGGACAATTGAGCTGTTCAGCCTGTGATCCAATGACCAAAACAATTTTGTCCAGTGCAAGAAACATTATTAAGAGAGTCCATGCAACATTGATTGAGGGTAGAGACTTGTTGATCTTTTATACTTTTTTGATATAGAATTAATTGGACTTTGATAATTTTTGTAAGGAAAAATTAAGATCAGTTGCGTGGCACATAAATACATTTTTTGGTATTGGTACCACTGCCACAAAATGCACCTCAAGCTGTAAATATTGCTCCAGGAGTGATTTAATGTTACACTTTGCTAAGGGTGCTTAATTACAGATACATATAAACATTGCAAATATAAGAGGTGCAGTGTTAGATGTTGTTGAACATTTACGGCTAAAGGTTCATTTTGGAACATTGGTATTGAAAAATGTGTTTGTGTAACATAGAAATTGCATAAAATAAATAAATCCGACATACAAATATGCTTTTCTTTATGGCATGAGTGTTGGAAGATAACAGATATCTTCATTGCTTACCTTAACCTTTATGAAACTTGTGGTAACAGGACATGTTCCGGCTGTTGTAACATTGATTGGCCCACTTTTGTAGATTAGACTGTGACAGACTTAGTGGATGATCACAACCACTCAGCAATGTAGGGGCTAGGTGGTACCTAGTTTGATTCACCTATCAAGTCAAAGCATTGATTAATAAGTACCTAGGGGGTGACTAATCAACTGGAACAAATGTGCTAACTGCTCAGAATTAATGAAAAAAAGGATGCCAAACATATATGTGCTAGTAAGACTAAAATGTGCAATAAAACATGACCATAAACATGAACAACTAACACTACAAATATGAAGCATTGTTTGGTCTGCACCACTTAAAACCCAAAACAGAAAGTGCATTAACACTGAGATGATTTAATGGCTTAAAACCATGCCTAGACACATGCATAATGTAAACACCCTTAATTGAAAGTCAAAGGTCTTAAATGGCTGAATTTTGTAGATGACCAGCTCCTTACTTGTTAGTTCCCATTTCCCACATTACACTTACAATCAATTAGTTTCTATTAATATAGGATTCATATATTAATATAGTTCCCACGTTTATGTTCACAATGTTGAGTTAAGGAGGGAATGGTGTTGGATCTGGAATGGATTTACTTGAATGGCTGGTTGAGAAAGGGAGCTTTATAGCTGAACTGTCTAATTTGAGATTAGAGAGGTTTCAGATTTGTAACAAGGTTCAAAATTTTGCTGTATCGGCTGATACGTATCGTATTGGTGGCTTCCCGATACGCCCCTACAGTGGGGGTTTTGGGGTCTGACCTGGTTCAGGGGGTGGATGGACCTTAAACCAACCCCTCTGAATCAGATTGAAAAAAAAAGAAGCAGCCTTGATACGGGCCAATACGCCCCTACCGCCTACCGGGATATTAATCTACTTTCTCTCATTTTATATGCCTAGGTTTTCCTTAATAAACTAAAATTCTTGACAACTAAGAAAAGATTCATTCATTTTGAAGTCTTCTCACTCAGCAGAACCAAGGATATTCCTTCCTCTCCAATTCTCTTTCTTAAGCTTGCATTACAAATCAAGGTTCAAAATATTGATACAGGCCGATACGCCCGCCTTCAAAATGAATGAATCTTTTCTTAGTTGTCAAGAATTTTAGTTTATTAAGGAAAACCTAGGTACATAAAATGAGAGGGAGTAGATTAAGATGGTTTGGTCACGTGCATGGAAGACCACCAACAGTACCTATAAGAAGTGATTTGTTACAAGTTGAAGGGATAGAAGGGCTACAGGTAGAGTCGATAGACCAAACAGAACATAGATACTAGTAATAATAAATGATTTAAGCACCAATAATGTAACAATGGATATGGCATTCAATTTCTCCAAAAAAAAAAAAAGATATGGCATTAAACAGATGCAATGGTGAAACAGGATTCATGTAGCTGACCCATATAGTTGGGATAAGGTTTGGATGATGATGATGATGAAGGAAACTTAATGATCTCTTAATTGAAGCTTTACAATATATTTATGAAGTTCTAGGGTAGGCCATGCTTAGTTTGTTTTTTTAATACTTGACAACTAAGAACAGATTTCTTAAAACTAGTTTACTTGACTAACACCCAAGACACTTCTAATTTCACGGAAACTCTTCAAAGCAAATAAAAGCAACTTCCTAACTAAATCTAGATAAACCAGAAACTACTAAAAACAATAAATCATGATTTTACTATAATGATATTTATGGGAGTTACTATAAATAGCGCAGCAGAAATTGCTATAAATAGTAATACAAATCTGACATTGTTTATCTTCTTTTCTTGTTTATGGTCTATATCAATTATCAATATCTTTAATTATAATAAGCTTATTTTCATAACAAACAAATATGTAACTGTCCAAGTCCAATCTATAAAGTATTCTTTGGAAGCCAAACACAAAAATAAAAAAGCATATGAACAAAGCAGTTGCTAATGATGCAGTCTTAGTTGTCTCCTAATCATGTCCTTGTGGCCATATAGGTTGAATCACTTCATTGGTGGTATAATTAGGCATGGAGTCCTAAAACACCCACTTTGTCAGTCCATGCCTTGACTATGTTGCCACCTAGTTTTGGAACATTTTCTGGAATATTCACTAGAGGAGCTTACCCTGTGATCATCTAAATAGGTTAATAACTTAATGTCATAGTTTTCAATGCGTCAAGGTGAGGCTACGCAACCGGGGGGTGGGGTGCCTTGTTGCCCAGTTGCCTAGGTGGGTGGGGTGCCTTCTGGAATATTCACTACATGTGCCCAAATGTTTTTTTGTAAAACTTCTGTATTTTTTATTTTTGAATTTTTTTATATTTTATTAATTTTTATTATTTAATTATGATATTCAAGGTTGACATGTTTGACCCAAAAGTTGAACTATTGATCTCTGCCAAATAGGAAAATAATTTCATTTTTTGTTAGTTTTAGATTATGTATTGCATGTTCATCATCAATAAAAATAATTATTGTTTATTGCACTTGTTTTTTTAATTTGATTAATATAAATATCATAAATGTGTCTATTTTTCTACATTTTGTAATTTTCTATATTTATTTCTATTTACAAATTTTATTATCTAACTATGACTTCATGGGTTGGCCAATTTGATTTGGATAGTTGAATTGCTTAGTCATCACTTGGGTAAAGAATGATTTTGTTTTTGAGTAAGTTTTAAAATATATATGGGTTTATATTGTTAAAAGTATTGGACATAGATCTAATTAATAGCATTTATTAGTGAATAATTAATTTAAATATGGAATTTAATAAGAGAAAATGGGAGTTAATACCTTAAATACAAGAGTTAATGAGAGGGGATTAAATGGGTGAAAAGCATTAATTGAAATTACATTTTCAACCTTCATAATTAGAGATGGACTAAATAACAAATGTGGGCATTTTAGTCAAGAAAAGTTCCACATCCTCATTCGTACTTTTTATAATAGTATAGATTATTATTATTATTATTATTAAACTAATCAGGATTTTATTAATTGTAAGAGATCTACTTGGATCAAATGGAACGAATCTTTGATATATTCACTGGAAGATAATAAACCTCCTAAAGCTTCAATCTACTTGCCAACTGGAAGAAAAATTATTTTTCTCTTGGAGGGAGAATCACCTTAATTAGGTCTTCTCTGGCTAACCTTCCTGTCTATTTTTTGTCAAGTGTTTAAGATTCCGGCTAAGGTGGCTAGCAGGCTGGAAAAACTAATGAGAGATTTTCTTTGGGAGCCGGGGGAGGAAAAGAAGGATCATAGGGTCAGGTGGGAGGTGGTATGTAGGGGTAAGAAGGAGGGAGGTTAGGGAATTGAGAACATAAGGATTAGGAACTTAGCATTACTAGGGAAATGACTATGGAGATTTTCATTGGAGAAAGAAAGACTGTGGGTTAAGATAGTCGGAAGTATACATGGGCTGGCAGACAATAGATGGGACTTTGGGATTCTAGCAAGGACTACAAGAGCTTCTCCTTGGAAAGCTATTCAAGCCATCTTGCCCTTGTTCTCTCCATGGAATAGGTACGACTTGCACTCAGTAACCTCATTAAGTTTTGGGAATATGTTTGGGTTGGGGATTCCTCTTTGAAAGATCAATTTTCAGGCCTTTTTGCTATTTCTACCCTTAAAAATGAACCAGTTTCCTCTTTTCTTGTTCCTTCTAATTCACCTTATGGGTTTGGATGGAACTTGAGCTTGAGAAGAGATGTCAAGGACAGAGTTAGCATGCACTTTAGCCTTATTATCCATTCTTGAAGGGGTCTTCATTGAGCCATCAAAGACAAATTATAGAATATGGACACTCACTCCCTCGGTTTCCTACACTTGTGCCTCTTTCTTTAAAGCCCTTTTACCCCCTCCTCCTGTCGGATTGTCTTTCCCTGTTAAAGAAGTGTGGTGTCGACCTGTACCTCGAAAGGTTGGGAGTTTCTATTGGGAAGCCTTTCTGGGAAGAGTTAACACAGGGGATCTACTTCAAAGAAAAAGACCCAATAGTTGTTTGTCTCCTCACTAGTGTGTTCTCTGTAAATTTGATGGTGAGTCTGGATACCATTTACTAATTTCTTGTCAGTCAAAGTTATTTGGGAATGGTTTACTTCTCTGTTTGGGGTGCAGGTGGACTCCCCCTTTGAATGTGCAAAGCTTATTCACTTCCATGCCTAACTGGCCAACCAAAAGGGCCAAGATCATGTGGAGATGTGGTAGGGCTGCGGTGTGTTGGACTGTTTGGGAGGAGAGGAACTCAAGGATATTCTCAAATAAGGAGATAAATTTGGAAGTAATCCTGGAGATTATCCACATTAGGATGATACATTGGTTGAGAACATTGGAATTGTTTAAAGTGTTCTTAGTTGATGAGATGATAAGAAGATGGAAGGAGATTGTAGATTCAAACTCAATTAAGAAGACCTTAAATTCCTGTTGGACACCTCCACCTCATGGGTTTACCAAACTGAATTTTGATGGTAGCAGCATAGGCATTCCAGGGCCCTCCAGAGTAGGGGGAGTGATAAGGGATGAAAAAGGGAATTTGTTAGCCATGTATTCTGGTCCGATTGGGGTAGGAGATTCCTTGAGGGCTGAGATTCTAGGAGCTCTTGAAAGGATACAAAGGGTCAAGGAAATGAATATTAAAAAGTTGATCATAGAAGGTGATTCTGAAATTGTGGTGAACTAGCTAAAAGAGGACAGTTCTATGCTCTGGAAATATAGTAATGAAGAGAGGAAGTTCAAGTGGCTCACCAAGGACATTGAAATTCATTGTACATGGATAAAGAGAAGTGCAAATGCATTGGTAGATGGTCTAGCTAGGAAAGGGGTGAATAGAAATTCTATCTTTTGGGCTGTTTTGTAATTGTCTCATGGTTAGGATGTACTTTGGGTAGTTGGGAGTTAAGTTTCTTTAGCTCCTTCCCATGTAGTTCTGTTTTTCTCAATCATTAATAAAATTCATTGTTATTGATCAAAAAAAAAAAAAAGCTTCAATCTACTCACACCATTATTAACTCAAAAACACCCCTAAACTGCTTCTTTCTATGTTTCATTCTTTGTTTTTTTTTTCTTGTTTTTTCTTCCAACATGTTGACCTCTATTGGTCATGGTCATGGACAATTTGTTAGTGTCTATTAAAACCCTAACTTTTTGAAAAGAAAAAGATAACTGGTAAGACTTCTAAGATTAGTTCAGCCAATGGTTAAATGATGAAATTAAGCATTGGTTTACTTTTCCTTCCAAAGATGTGCTACCCTATATTCTATTTACAATTGCTCATTTTCAATTGAATATGCCCCGTATGCTTAACTGCCAACTTCTCCCTATCTCTAGTGAATGTAATGCTAAATTTTCCATAAGTGGCTGGGGCTTGATGCAAACATGTATTCAAGTAGTTAATTGATCCTTGCTTTGGATCCATAAAAAATGATCCTTGTTTTGGCATGGGGTTTTCAGGTGGTGAATGAACCTACAGATGTGCATTGTCCTATTGTGGAGATGTCTACACGATCCAAACTCAGTTGCTTGAGTTGGAACAAGTATACAAAGAATCATATAGCTAGTAGTGACTATGAGGGGATAGTCACAGTTTGGGATGTCGATACTCGGCAGGTACTAACAATTGTCATATTTGCCTTCTATTTATAAAAAAAATTGTGTCCATCTGCATTCCAAACCTCAGTCTTTCATACATTTTAATGCTACAATTGGCCTTCGCAGAGTGTCATGGAATATGAAGAGCATGAAAAGAGAGCATGGAGTGTTGACTTTTCACGCACAGAACCCTCAATGCTTGTATCTGGTAGTGATGATTGCAAGGTACTCATAATATTATTGTAAACTGAAAAGGTGAAGTGCATCTTCACACACACACACACACACAAGGAAAAAACGGTGAAGTGCATCTTCCATTTTTGGCATCATTGTAGAATTCATTTTTATCAATCATTTGCTTTTTTTTTGAGCAAGAGTAAGGTAAGCGTTTATTGAAAAGAGGAGAATAGGATACAATAATACAGATCAGGAGGACTGAGGACCCCACCCAATGCACAGATTACAACACAACCCCAAAAGAGGAAGGGGCCCCTCAACCAACATCAGGACTGAATCAAATCGCAATGGTACAAGGACTGCAGAGGAGTGGACATAGAAATATCCTTAGAGACTGAAGCCCAAGATCCAATTCTGCCCACTGCCTGGTTAATGAGATCTTCCACAGATTTGCTTTTGACTCTAAATATTCTGTAGGCCTGCAAGCACTCCAACACAGCCAGACATTGACCAACTCAGATTAGCTGCTTTGAAGAAGTAACTCCAAATCTGGTCAGCAACTTTGCATTGCAGGAAAGGAATAGATGACTGACTGATTCCTATTCTTGCCCACACATGGCACAAACTTGGTTCTGGACCCCCAAACCTCTTCTAGCCAGATTGTCCCTAATGAGGCCTTTTCCTAAAGCAGCAGTCCCCAAACCAGGAAGGCAATCTTTGATGGCACTAGGGAGTTCCAGAATCCAAACCTGTTTACCCAGGAAGGTGACACTTGGCTGAGTCCTTAATAGTATGCTGCACGAGTTCAGTGAAACAACCGGAATTATCACCTTTCCAGATCCATTTGTTCTCCTGAACTACTGAGATACATTGGGCTTCCAGCAATTGTATCAGATCAATTGCACTCTCCACTTCCCAATCTTGTAAATTCCTTAAAAAAAAGAAAAAGGGTATCAATCCACTTGATTTTCCTGTGTAGTGCAGTAGTCTCACACTACCTCTCTATTTTCAGCCAACAAATATAGCTGTGGAAACAACTCCTCCAGAGCTTGATCCCACCACCATCTATCTTTCCAAAATCTGGTTCTATCTCTTGTTGCCACCTTAAGAGTTACCCCTTGTGAGAAAAAAGGGTAAACCTTCAAAACGATCTTTCACACAGAGAAACCAAGGGATGATAAATAATCCACTGACACCCAATTTACTGGCAATCTGCTTCCTCCACCAACCATCCACTTCTGTTTCAAAGTGCCATAACCATTTGTTTTCCTAATGCCTAACCCCATTCATAATGAGGCAAGCAAACTTGATCCCAATTTACAACATGTATCTTTTTTTTTCCTCTTGCCACCCATGCCATAGAGGTCCCTTTGTAACTTCCTAATGCATCTTGTATTGGCAGAAGCATAAGCTACAAAACTCATAATAAACATTCTATGCAAATGGCTAAAAAAAAAGATCTGAATGATTAATTTGACAAGTAGTTTGTCAATTTATATAAGATTAGTAGTAGTACGTCTAGTATGGTAGTTTATTGCATTACATCCTTGACAATGAGAAGTTCTAATCTGAGCCTAACGATTTTAGCAATTTAATTTACTTTGTAATTTTTGAAAGCCGTAGGCAAAAGAATCAGTATTTTATTTATCAAAAGAAAAAGAAATCAGTATTTTGAGGCAAGTAATGCACTGATGTGAAATTGCTAACTAAGATGCCACACAAGTGGCAGTCAGTATACCCCTTTGCCATTTAAGTTATTTCTTTCTTTTTTTACTCATGTCAAGATACTTGAGAATATGTATAATTGAAGTAAATTTAATAAAATGATTCTAGAGTTCTTATTTTCCAAGAAGATTTTTATAGACAGGTTTAGTTGAGACTTGAGTAACTACCAGTTCACTTTGTTTTAACTTCTAAGTTTGTACTTTCCTTTTTGGTAAGTAAACTAAGATGCCACACAAGTGGCAGTCAGTATACCCCTTTGCCATTTAAGTTGTTTCTTTCTTTTTTACTCATGTCAAGATACTTGAGAATATGTATAATTGAAGTAAATTTAATAAAATGATTCTAGAGTTCTTATTTTCCAAGAAGATTTTTATAGACAGGTTTAGTTGAGACTTGAGTAACTACCAGTTCACTTTCTTTTAACTTCTAAGTTTGTACTTTCCTTTTTGGTAAGTAAACTTCCCTCATGGTGTGCTTATGTGAAAACAGGTCAAAATCTGGTGCACAAAGCAGGAAGCCAGCGTTCTTAACATTGACATGAAAGCAAATATTTGTTGTGTCAAATACAATCCTGGATCGAGCATTTATGTTGCGGTATACTATCATACACATGCACGTCTTTGCCATCTGAATTATTGAACCAACATGGGAAGGAGGAATAAAACTTGTCTTCATAGTGAAAGTTTTTTTTAGCCATTTTTTTAGGAGGTGCTGAATGTGCAATGAAGTGCATTATACTCCATCTTGCTTGAAACTCATTTCTTCTCTCATTTGGAGACAATTTTTTACCTATTATTACATATTCTAGCTAGATCACTCTTGAAGTCTTTCATGTGTTTTACTCTATACCATGGTTCCATTTCCTAATGTTTACAATTCATCAGTTATTTCTACTTTGTCAAACTGAATCTATTCTTTCCAAGTTCACTGCTGAAATATGTTGTTTTCTCAATTATCATGTCCATTCCATCCTTCCCACCTAACTCTTGCTGGGCCTTCAGCTCTGTATTTCACTATTTCTGTTTGCTTATTTTGAATGGGAACTTTTGGCATTTTGCAGGTTGGTTCTGCAGATCATCACATTCACTATTATGATTTGAGAAACATTAGCCAACCACTCCATGTTTTTAATGGGCACAAGAAAGCTGTTTCATATGTCAAGTTCTTGTCCAACAATGAGCTTGCTTCTGCATCTACTGACAGCACATTGCGGTTGTGGGATGTAAAGGAAAATCTGCTGGTAAGTTATAATGCTTAAGAGACTGGTTAGTTTGCCTATGAATTTTAAATTCCAATTTATTCAATAATTATGAGCAGGTGTTATCTTTAACCATATAGACCATGAGTGGTAAATGTGTTATTGACCAAGGTATATCATGTCAACATTCAGACTATGTTGCGAACTGGATCAGACTTGGAATATCAAGATATCTAATAGTCTTTGCAAGATGAATTTGACTTGATCTAAGATCCTAAATAAGCTTTTGGTTTTTTGGAGGAAGAAGGGGGTAAACATGTGTTTTTTGGTAAGCACAAGGTTCAAAACTTTAATACGATACACCCCATATTGGGTGTATCGTATCGGTGGCTTCATGATACACCTATTTAAAAGTGTTTCGGGAACCACTCTTTTTTTAATAAAAAATATGGTTAAAAACATGCCCAAAAACCAAATTTTGAAGGAAAGCTAAAAAAAATATAAAAGCACATTAATTTAAGTACCAATATGCCCCTGCCAATACACAGGGGTGTATTAATATTTTGAACCTTGGATAAGAAAGATAGCAAGAAAAAATTCATTAATAAGTGGGTGAGCTCCCGACTAGGTATGGAACCTAGTTGAGCAAACTTGAAGTGGGCGGAAAAATCCATCAAAATATTAAAGAAAATGGGAGCTAAACTTGTACTACATTACAGAAATGAGAGTATCTTCAGTTTAGGACCTAGTAACTTGCTACATTTCTCGACATATATGTTTCTATTGTATATTATTTTATATATTACATTTATTAGTATTATAATATGATAATATAGTATAGAGTAAATTACAGACTGTCGCCCTATACTTTGGGGGTAGTGACACTTGGCCCCCTGAACTTTCATTTGTGACAAAGACCCACCCTGAGCTTTCAGATTCCAGCACTTTGCCCCCACTGTTAGCATTCTGTTAGTTAACTTCAGAAAAGATTTTCATGTGTCTATCATGTGTATGTTTGAACATTTAAAAAATCCCACCATTAGTATTCCGTCACTTATAATACTTACATTTATAAGTATTATATCGACCCTTTGTTTCATTAAGCTCTAATAACAAGTGAAATTACAATACTGCCCTTAGTAAGACATAAAATGAGACAAAACATAAAACAAGAGAGTAAATGAACAAAATACCCCAATAACTAACACTCCTCAAGTTGGGGCATATAAGATCTAGCTTGTTACAAATGTAATCCATCCTAGACCGACCCAAACTTTTGGTAAATAGATCAGCAAGTTGATGTTTTGACTTGATGTACGGGGTAACAATATCACCACTCGCTGCCTTTTCTCTCACAAAATAGTAGTCAATTTCTATATGTTTAGTCCTCTCATGAAAAACTGAATTAGATGTAATATGAGCTGCAACTTGATTGTCACAAAATAATTTAATAGGTTTGTAAACAGGAATATTTATCTCCTGAAGAAGACCAAATCAACTCAGCTGGTGTGTGCAATTGCTCTGTACTCAACTTTTGCACTACTCTTAGCAACTGCACTCTGATTCTTACTCTTCCAAGTGATAAGGTTCCCACACAGAAATGTACATTAGTCTGTGGTAGATTTTCTGTCCATTGAGGACTCTGTCCAGTCTGCATCAGAATACCCTTTTAGGGACAATTCTCCTCCTCTCTTATATAGAAAACAACAACTTGGAGAACCTCTCAAGTACCTCAACACCCTCATAACACCTTCACATTGTATAGTTTTGGGAATTTGCATAAATTGTCTCAATACACCTACACTGAAGGAAATACCAAGACATGTGATAGTAAGGTAAATTAGTTTTCTTATTAGTCTCTTGTACTATTTAGGGTTAACTAATAGCTCCCCTTGACTATCAGTCATCTTCACATTAGGATCCGTAGAGGTCTCAACTGGCTTGACACCAAGTAGGCCTGTCTCATTCTATAAGTCTAGAACATATTTATGACAAGGAAATTCCCCATCTTGATTGAGCTACCTAAATACCCAAGAAATACTTTAGGGATCCTAAATCTTTGGTTTGGAATTGTTGTTGCGAAAACTATTTCACCTATTCCACACATATCACTGCCAGTAATAACAACATCATCAACATAAACTGCTAAAGTAGTCTTTCCATAAGATGTCTCCCTACTAAACGCTGAATGGTCAACATTACACTACTTCAGACCAAACTCTTTCACCACGCTACTGAACCTACCAAACCACACTCATGGTGATTGCTTCAGCCCATAAATGGCCTTCCTTAATCTACATGTCTTCCCTACATCCCCTTGAGCAACATACCTAGGAGGTTACTCTATATACATCTCTTATTGAAGATTACCATGAAGGAAGGTATTCTTGACATCAAGCTGAAACAAGGGCTAGTCAAAATGAGTAGCTAAGGAGATAATCACTTGTACAGAGCCCATCTTAGCAATTGGAGAAAAAGGTCTATGAGTAGTCAACACTATAGGTCTATGTGTAACCTTTTGCCACTAGTCATGCTTTAAATCGTTCAATGCTACCATTTTGTTGATGCTTAACTGTATATACCCATCGACAACCAACTAGCTGCTTTCCAAAAGGTAAAAGGTGATATCCCAAGTATAGTTAGATTGGAGAGCATGGATTCTTCATCCATCACCTTTTTCTAGTTAGGAGAAGCAAGGGCATCTTGGATAGAACAAGGAATGGAAACTGAAGAAAGAAGAGAAACAAACTTCTGATTGGAAGAAGATAAGTGAGCAAAGAAACCACAATGAGAAATGGGGTGATCAGTAGAAGTATGCTTACCATTGCGGAAAGTAATGGGAAGGTCAAGATCTGATTGTGGAGGATCTGTTGGCAGCAAAGCCATTGGTGTTGTGTTGGAAGCCAGAGGTGGAGTTGAAGTTTGTAGGTGTAATGGCTCTCATTCTTGTCTGGAGTATGCTCTATGAATTGATGGTTGTATAGGCTCCTCTAAAGTAGGAAGAGGAATAAACACACCACCTGAAGTAGAAGGCGGAGGAACCAAGGGAGAAGGTTCCCATCTAGAAAAGTAAGGTGGACTCTCAAAGAATGTAACATCAGGAACAACAAAGGCCTTACAAAGAACTAAATCATAACACTTATACCCCTTTTGTGTACAGGAATAACCAAGAAAAACACATGATGACACGGGAGTCGAGTTTATCATGGTCAGAGCCCAACTTGTGGACAAAATATACACAATCAAAAACACAAGTAGGAAGAGAAGAAAGGAGACTTCCCATCAAGAACACATGAAGACATGCTGTTGATTAGAAAACACGAGGTGAGAATTGCATCACTTTAGTAGGTCTTAGGTACAAACATCTAAATCAACAAGGCACAAGCTGTTTCAATTACATGACGATTCTTCCATTCAGCCACACCATTTTGTAGGGGTGTGTGTGAACAAGAAGACTAATGTTTAATATCATGAGTGTCAAATAGGATTGAAAATCACCAAGGAAATACTCTTTAGCATTATCTGAACAAAACACTTTGATACATACACCAAATTGATTTCGTATTTAAGCATGAAAGGAGAGAAATATACAAAATAGCTCAAAAATTTTTTCATTAAATAAATCCACGTCATTTTTGAATACTCATCAATGAAGGTTACAAAATATCTAAATCCATTATAAGATGACATTTGACTAGGACTCGAAACATCTAAGTCAACAAGAGCAAAAGGACTCAAGACTTGTTTTCCCTTAGAACAAAAGAAACTCTATGATGTTTGCTTAATTGACATGACTCACACTCCTACTGAGAGATTGAATCTAAAGTAGGAACCGATTGCTTCAAAATACGGAGAGAAGGATGACCCAAACGACAATGCCATTGATGAATGGTTAGAGAGCCTTTTGTGAACCATTGTCATTCAATTAGTACAATCCTCCAAATTCTCGACCATCACCGATTGTCTTCTCTATTTGGAGATCCCGAAAAACATAATATGAAGGATAAAAGGTTATTGAACAATGGACTGATAGAGTAAGCTTGCTTTTAGCCTTTTACTGACAAAAGACTAAAAGGGAATTTTGGCACATAGAAAGTAGAATTTAAATTGATGTTAGGACTAAGAGACACATTATCGGTACCCATAACAAGGCAAAAAAGTTCTATCAACTAAGGTTACGGTTTGAAATATGGAGAAGATAAAGATATAAAACATGTTTGAGGATCCAATTATATGATCTGAAGCTCCAGAGTCAATTATCTAGGGTGACAGTAGTACCTGATTGTGCAAAGGTGGCAGTAGTTTTGGGAGAAGACAAGCGAAACCTTTCATACTCTTCATGAGTGATAGAGACTAAATCCTTTCCCTTACCCATTCTTGAAAGAGGTGCCTTCTTTGTAGAAATTTTATTGCCACTATCATCTCCTGCAACAACATGATTAGCCCAAGAGGATGGCAGGCCATGTAGGTCATAGCAGAAGTTAACAGTATGTCCCTAACACCACTTCAACCACCTATAAGCCCATGACTCACTCTTATAACTCTTCTACCAAGCATATTTTTGCCTCCAACACCCCCCTGAGACCCACTAAAGCAGATCTTTCTTGCATGGGAACATGTTCATTATGTGGGTTCGAGGCACTCTGGATGCATGAAAACACTTCAGAAAGAGAAGGGAGGTCGCTACTGCCTAAAATCTGTGCTCTCACCGCTTCAAACTCACTCTTCAACCCTAATAAGAACCTTGCAACATCCATATGCTCTCGTTGCTCTTGTTGAACTTTTAGGTCTGTGGTATGTGTAATATTCTTCCACTCTCTTGGTCCTCAACCCTAATCTATGTGTAATAGCTGCCCTTAATATATTTTAGTTTACCTCTTTCAATCAAGGATACCCTAGCTAATTTAGCCCATGGTATATAGTTCGTGCCATTAAGCTTTATCCTAGTCAGTTGTGTATTATCAAGGTTGTACTAACTTTGAACACTGACAAGCTACCTCACCCCAGCCTGAACCACTTCTCCACTTTTCAAACGTAACACACTCAAAAAATGACCTTCCACACCACCATAATCCATTCAATCACCATATACCAGTCTCCAACTACTGCACGAAGCACTAATCCCTAGTCCTCTTTGAACTCCAAATAGAGGACCTTTAGAAAACCACAAAAAACTCACCGGCTGTCACGATTGGAGGCATAGATGCCTCCTTTCCTACAGGGCGATCAGTCGTTTCTGGTCCTTCTCTCTCCCCTTGATGCAAAGAAGATGCTCTCTACTTGAAAAGGACAAGATGTTACAGTCTGACCAGGTCGATCACTGGTGCACTGATACCATGTTATCTTCCTTGGAAAGTTACTAAAAAGGCGAGAAAATAAGAAAATTCAAGAAAAGTAGTGTGGTCAAGAGAAAGAGAGAGAAAGTAGAAAAGAAGGAAGAGAAAAGGAGGGTTTTGAGAGAACATGATCAACGCACTAAGCTTTAATAACAAGCAAAAGTACAATACTGCCCTTAATAAGAGATAACATGAGACAAAACATAAACAAGAGAATAAATGACCAAAATACCCCCACTAACTAGACTTCAACATAGAGCATTGCAACCATAAATCTGAGAGGCAAAACTTCAAATATTCTGCAAATGGTTTGAGTTGGATTAAACAATAAGTTAGTGTAAAGGAGGTAAGCAATATCTACAACTTCCTAAACAGTTCGTTTAATGCTATGTTTGGTTTGACAGAAAATAAGAGAGAAAGCTGAGGGAAAGTTCTTAGGTAATTCAATAAAAATTCTTAAGAACCTTCCCTCAAATTTTGTTTCTTTCTTATTTTCTATTAAACCAATAATAGCCTAAAGCTTCCATCTTGAGGCAAGTTGTGCGTTGGATGATAATTGGTATTTGGAGCAGCAAGAGGTTAGGTAGGTGGGAACAAAATTGTGAGATGGTAGTGGACCTTTCAGTAGGGGCCTTTGGAAACTAATGTGGATACTACCCAATATGAAATTTTACAAGTATTTGAAATGGAGTCCTAACTTAGAAATCATTCTTATTGATGAAAATTGGAATACTTTCTTTCTCACTGAACTTAGTCTTGTAGTGATTGGCAACCATTTTCTTTTTTTTTTTTAATTGTCGGAACTTAATACTGTTTAGAAGGATGTAGAGACTAATCCAACCTTGCTTTCTTTTCTGTGACTAATGTTCCCAGGTTCGCACATTTAGAGGTCACACAAATGAGAAGAACTTTGTAGGTCTCACCGTAAACAGTGAATATATTGCTTGTGGCAGCGAAACAAATGAAGTTTTTGTTTATCACAAGGTTAGAAAAATTTCAAGAATTCGGTCTCCTTGGTTTTTACTGCATAAAAAATTCTAAAATAATTTGGTAATGTGATTCACTTGCAGGCAATCTCCAAACCTGCAGCTTGGCATAGATTCGGTTCATCTGACTTAGATGATACTGATGATGATGGAGGATCCTACTTCATTAGTGCTGTATGTTGGAAGAGTGATTCTGCAACAATGTTAACAGCTAACAGTCAAGGAACGATCAAAGTGCTTGTATTAGCAGCTTAAATAGGAAAAAAAGATAAAAAGGATACATCCAATTTGATTCTCATTAAACATGATGATCATTATTTTTGTATGTATAAATATAATATTGAAATATGCAAAAGGCAGTTTCAAAGAGTTTAATGTGGTTCTTGGTATTCCAATTTCCCTGTATTATCGCAACAGAAAAACCAAGTCTCAACTCCATTGTTTCCGGCCAATGATCATATGGTCTTTGGGTGGGGGGTGGGGGGGGGGTTCTACAATATTACACATGAATGTTTTTTGTTTCGTTTGTTTTTAAAATCACCATGTCAACAATTTGTTTTGAATAGGAAAAAGAAGTTGGTTTTGAAAAACAATTCATGTTTTTGAAATCATCAATATGGTGGTTTCTAAAACAAAAACAAATATTGGAATACAGATGTTATGTAATCCATGAAACAAGATATGAAAACATTTCTTTAAACCAAAATTTCAAGAAAAATAAACATGTATAGCGAAAAACCTGTTTTTTTAGGGATTTTTGAACTTCAATCCCCTCAGAGATTTGAATTGCAGTAGCCCCCCTATAAATCGCATCCTACCCATGGATTTGGCATCAATCCGTGGTCAGGATTCAGTCCACCCCTAGAGTGGAGCTCTAGATTTCTAGGGGTGGGCTGACCTATAAAAACCCCTTTTAAGAAGGTTTCAATAACCAATTTGTTTTCAAACTAAATGATTAGAGTGGAGCTCTAGATTTCTAGGGGTGGGCTGACCTATAAAAACCCCTTTTAAGAAGGTTTCAATAACCAATTTGTTTTCAAACTAAATGATTTTGATTTATTTTTCGTAACTCATAAGAAGAAAAATAAATCACATTGGAGAACACCCCCTAAGTGTTAAGTTAGCATCTTTTTTTTTCCTGATGAAAAGTAGCCCTTAATGTTGTTTATGCCAGTGGACCCTTCGTGCATCCTTTCTAATGAGCAGAGGTGTAGATTGGGTTGTGTCGCCCACGACCTAGCACGAATTTGGATTGGCCTAGCCCAGCATGGCACGACAGCCCGTGGGCTGTGCCAGGCCCGACAGCCCGTGGGCTGTGCCAGGCCCGACACGATGGTCCGTGCCGTGTTGGGCTAGGGTTCATAGTCTACGGACTGGCATGGCATGACACGACTGTGCGTGCCATGCCGCCCGCGGCCCATGTGCTAGCATGGCCCAGCCCGTAGCACGACCTGTTGTGGGCCGGCATGGCCTGCAGGGCCCATAGCGGGCCATGCTCGGCCCGTCCGAAAACTTTCCATCTAGCCTGGTGGCCCCCTCTCCCCAATGGCTAGTTTCAGCTTTTTAGGGTTTTTTTTTACATAAATACCCCCTAACAACTATAAATAGCTATATAAGGGGGGTATTTTTGTATTTTGCTTATGGAGGGGAGAAAAATGATACAAATGCCTCCTAACAGTTATATAACAATTAGTTTAGGGGGCTTTTTGGGTAAACTTATAAATAACTTTATAATGACCAAAGTACCCCTTTCAACAACTAAAAAACAATTAATTTTTAGGGTATTTTGGGCAATTGAATTATTTTCATTTCCTATAAACAGCCATATCCTCCACCATTCTCATCACACCAATTCAACAATTGTCTTAATCTCTTTTCTCTCTCTCATACATTCTCTGCAATTTGAGTAACTCTGATTGGCTGATTGTCTGATTCTCCAATTCTCAAGTCTCAACTTTATTGAAGTTTCAACAAGAAGGTTTGCTGCCTTGCTCAATGCCTCAACCAGCTTAAGTATCTCAAGTTAGTAATTTGGGAGGCTTGGACATTGAAAGGCTTTAACCGTTGAAATCAAGTTGGGAATTTGGGATTCTGAACCGACAATTCGGGTAAGTCCAATTAAATTAATTTTATTTTTTTAGAATTAAAAAAAAATGACCGACTATTCCCAAAACCAATTCCCCAAGTTTAGTAGCCTGATTTGAAAAATATTTAAAATAGAGGATGTTGAGGGGAAGGGGGAAAAGAGAAATTTGCCAAAAATGTAGAGAAGACTTTACCTATTATAGCAAGGGTGGTACTGGCTATTTGAGCAGACATTTTCTCACACATGAGAAGGAAGAAGAAATAACCCACAATTTAAATGAATTGTTGAAATAATGGAAATTAAATTTTAAAAATATTGGGAGAACATTTCTCCCCTTTATTGCTTAGCTACAATATTAGATCCTAAGATTAGGAAAGATGGTTTTGATATTTYACTTGAAACATATTGTGAAAATATGAATATTGAAATTGGAAATAAAAAAGAATAAATTAATAATTTATTATTTGAAATGTACAGTTTATATGAATCTGATAATCTGAAATAGTAGGAAATAATCCTACAACTTTTACAGCATCTAACATCTTCAGGTCTTCTACTTCTACAAGCAAATTTTATTTAATAAGTAGAAGAGAAAAACTTTTTTATTTAATAAGTAGAATGCAGGAATTTGCTACTTCTAGAACAAGTTCATTTATTGAACTTAATTTATTTACAAGCAAATTTTCTTGTTTAGGTGAGGGAATGAATAATTTTGATATTTTAGCCCGATGGAGTGAACATTCAAAAAATTATCCAGTTTTCGCCGCCATGGTATGTGATCTACTAACCCTTCCAGTGTTTACAGTTCCATTGGAGTCTTGTTTTAGTGTAGGTACCACTGTACCAGGGTGTTGGAGTTGGACGACAAGAGAAGTTGCATGAACGATGAAAGTACAGAGATGTGCATCTGCTTTAAGGATTGGCTAGATGCAGTCATGCAGAAGATAGATTACAATTTTACAAGACAAAGGAGGGCATGATGCTACTACATACACCGGATATTTCACCTGAAGCAAATGATGAAAGTCATGATTCATGAACATTAGTTAGCTAGTTGTATAGATTTTTTTTTTTTCAAATTTTTTTAATTTTTTTTTTATTTAATTTATTTGCTATTAATGTAATTTTGTATTTTCAATTTGTAACTATATTGTATTTTTATATTTTATTAATTTATTCCATTTTCATATTTCATTCATCCAAGTATGAAGTATCCAACCATTGTATGTTTTGTAATTTGTATCATTCAAATTTAAATGAAATAAAATTCCTATTTTTCTTCCAATTTGTTATTCCATCATTCTTGATTCTTATTTGGTTAAGTATTTTTTCATTTATGTGTTAGATTTCTCATTTATTAATTTTTCAAATAGTTTCCAAAGGCCAAAGCTCAAAGGAAAGTTAAATATTTTAGTTTTACACTTTTACTTAAAAAAGAAATAAAAAATTTCGAAAAAAAAAACAAAAAAAAGTCAAAAAATCAATGTAGCCCAATTCGGCCTAGGCCCAAGGCCCGCCCTGTGGCCCAACCCGGCCCAAACCCGCAGCACAGCATGGGCTTGGGCCATGGGCCATGCCGGGCCGACCCCCAAAATTTTCACCAGGGAGGGCGGCATGGCCCGTGACGGCCCGCATTTTGCACGGGGCCATCCACGGGGCCCACTTTATACCTCTACTAATGAGACTCATTGACACTTGGGCTATGTTTCGTTTGAAGGAAAAAATAGGGAACGAAGGGAAGAATACAAGATTTGCAAAGGTTTTTCTGCCTTTCGTTTCCTTTCCCTACTGTTTCCTTCAAACCAAACTGAGACAGTTCATGCCTACAAACCACACGGAAAAAAGAACAAGAAAGAGAAGGAATTTATCAAACTAGCCAAGAAATTCGCAGAGAGAGTCGGGGGAGTCTGTGACACCCTCACTGTCTCATTAACCACCAGAGAACACAAGTATACGAGTAGTAGTTTTTTCCCCCCGAAAATTCGAAGATTACTGCTGAAGCTCAATTAGAATCATTGATGAAACCGTTGACGTAGTTCTCGTCCATTTTCTAATTCGGAACGTTGTAGACAAGATAGAGCAATCCACAACTCAATGGTTCCCAAGGAAAGAGAGACTGAATTTGGTTAGATGGTTGCAACTTGCTAAAGTCAAATCTCAAGTCTGCTCTGTCATTTTCCTTCCTAGTTGGAGATCTGTAAAAAGCGATCTAAATGGCTAAATCCAATATATGTGCATCCCATGAGATTGTGCTTGTAGACGTAGATTAGTTCGACCTCGGGATGATTAATTGTCAATCTTTTTTAAGTGTCTGAGACCACGTATGGTTAAATTGTTAAATATCTTCAAAGCTCATAAAAAATGTTTCGACAGTTTTATCTTCACATACACCAGAGGGAAGCGAGACGTAATGGCGTAATTGCCCAGCAAACTATAAGCAAAAAAGAAAAGGAAACTAGAACCGATAGGAATTCACAAAGAGATAAGGGGATGATGGATATTTCTACGAGTAACATATAAAAGGTCGATCTCTAGAGCTTTTCCTCTCATTTCACATGCAAATACAATCGACAATTTACTTACAAGACGTTATACATTTGATGTTGATATTAGTCGTCTTCAGTCTAGAAATGATGAAAAGAAAGGAAAGGAGTAAGAGGCATTTTCTTAGATTTCATATAAGAAACTCTCTTGTCAACTCAATGGAGAAAGAGAGAGAGAGAGAGATCCAGCTCAGGAGGGATAGGAAGAAGAGGGATGCATCCACGAACCAGAAACAAGAATCTTACTCCGAAACTCGGTGAAGGGTGTAGAGAGCGGCCACTGCACAAATGATACAGTTTTCGGACTTGCAAGGTCAAGAAAACTCAAGTGACCTTGATAAGATGTGAAATAAAAGAGAAAAAAATATAATGAATAAAAGCTCAGAAGAGATACCGCCATGACTTTTTATCGGGGCTTTTTGGGTCTTATTGCTACACCATAGAATTGAACCACTTCAACTACCACCATTGTCAGTACTATATGCATGAGAACCCAAATGGCCGTAAAGGGCCAGTCAGCTTTGTATGGCATTGCTGTTGAGATTGACCCTTCTGCAGCGGCGCAATGGGATGGGGTTGGGGAGGGTGGTGGTGGTAGACCGAGACCGGTGGTGCATCTCCATTTATACACGACTTCTAGCCAGCTGCCAGCATTAAATAAAACAGAGTTTATAATTTTGATTCTTTCTGAAAGAGATGGTCTGATTTATCATTTAATTTTCAACAAAGGCAGGGACAGAATGGATA